ATTTCCTGCAAGGCGATTACGCGGTAGTTAATGCGCCCTGCAGCCTCGAGAAGCGCGTGATGATCGGCGTTGGTGGAGACTGTCCTGGCGTTGTAGGTGCAGAGCATGATACAATCTCCATGACGAGTCTTGACGAGTCCTTTTGGTCCAAAATCCATGGCGTCCTGCGCAACCTGACACTGGTCTTGATAACATCCACCGCCGTAGATGTGATCCAGTGTGCAGGGCTTCTTTTTCTATTACATGCTGTTAGGGCAATGAATAGTCTCCCCAAACATTAGCAGTGCTTTGCCAGAGCCCTGCCATGCTTTCACCACAGGCAATCGCTGACCTTCAGGGAGATGCCACCTAGCGACTTGAATCAGCCAGACGGTGGCGCTTCTGGCATGGCCTACTCTTAGCTGGGCATCCGAAAAACGGAAACGTCGAACTCCTTTTCAGCTTGGGAGACCATGCTGGAGGATAAACCTTCGCTGTACTTCGCAGTTCGACACCCAGAGTCACCGCCGCGCCACGATGAAGCGGTAGACCATCACGGGGTCACCCATCACCAATCTCCTATTATGTGGTGAAAAATAGCAGCCAGGAGCCCTACTAAAACTATAATGTTAGTCAGTGAATGTAAGTTATCGAACTTCTCACAAAATAACTGTGAAGTCAACTAAAAATTTTGATTACACTTAACATTTTGATTATCTACGACACAAATAAGCAATAGTTGGCATCTGTGTTTTGCTTGAAGTAAATCAACCTCTAACTTGAAAGACTACTGCAAGAGTTAAATAAGGCTTTTACTAATTCTTTCCAAAATTATTTGCGTTATTGCCATTTACCATTGGATTTTCTGCAATTTGGTGATTAGTAACTGTGAAAGATCTGATTCACACGAATCACCTGCTTAAAGGCACTTGATGAGGACATAGATAGAGCGCAATATTCTCATCGTACGAAGGTAACAGATCAGTTTGCTGATTTTTATATCGCATTTTTAGCTGCAAAGAGGGTCATTGTTAGAAATTATTCCCGGAAGCCACTGCCACGGGCGAAATTAAGAAAATCTGCGCGTCATCGAGCATAGTAGTAATCATTTGCTGGTACTGATAATGACTATTTATCATGTTCTTTGGTTTTAAGCTCAATAGAAGAGTGAGCAAACGTTTTGACTGCATGCCATGGCAGAAAAGACGGGCTTGGAAGTAAAATGGAAGGCGCACAGCTGCTAAACTCGGAAACGCTTTGTTATTAAAAACTGACGTTCAATAGAAGTTTCCAGATATTAAATGCTATAACTTTTGACCATACAACTGTTTTGTTTCTTAGAAGACAATATCTTAAGATGTATGAACTTGCTGACCATAGATAGTCAAAAAACGGAGGAAATGAGGGTTCAATGTATAGTTTTTGAGTATTATGTTATCTTGTATAAAGCGGTGGATGGGGCACAGTTTTGAGAGGATTAAATTGATAGCAACGTTATCTTTGCGCGGAAATGTGGTCATTAGAAAAAAAATAGCGGTTGGCAGTATATAGTATAGTGTATATTCTAGTTTCGATAAAGCGTTTCCGTTTACTACTGGATTAATCAACAAATAGTCAAAATGTCAAGCTTGAATTGAACGTTTCTTTTTTTGATTACCACGTTCTGCACTGACCTTGGACATGAATAATCAAACCGTTAGAAATAATGGCATAAACCAGTTCGCGCTGGTATTATAATAATGATGTTGGCACTTGATCTTTTGTTTTTACAAAAAGGCTTTGCACCTTCCAAGTCGATAAAGATTTAACTGTGAAAGAAAGTTTGGATACAAGTCTGCTTGCGTATCCAAACTTTCGCTATCATAATACGATGTTAAATCATGTGTCAACGCTTTTTTGAGCTTTGAAGACGGTAGGAAGTTACCATCAGTAAGCAGATTTCACGTCTCTCTTAGCATGATTGTACACAACAGAAGCAAGTTCAACTCTTTGCCATAATGAACCATGTACTCTAAATCAACCATGACGCACTCCGTAGAGACGGGTAAAACGATGTGTTTTTCTTCCAAATTCTCCACTACCAGTCTTTAAGCACCATGAAATTGTAAGTAAGAAGATTCCTCCTTTTGGTTTGCAAGCTTCGCAATACCTCAGAAGTCCAAAGATTTGGTTTGCACTTCTCTTTTCTATCTCCCAATTCTTTCAGATGGACGTGTGAGGCGGAGGATAATCTCCAGTATTGCATGACTGTTCATTCATGTACTGCCGATGATGGTCAAGGCATTGGTCAACAGCTCATTGACGAAAGAGGGTGAAACATAAAAACTAAAGATACACAATTTTTTTCGCGTAGCATTATGTCGCTATGACCATGCTTTAGTGTTATAGGTGTTCGCTTGACAATTTTCTTCTAAAGAATCTCGAATATGGCGATGATCTTGTGGCTGGCCAACAAGCCTATGTATTCAAATTCGCCGACAAGCCTACAATATTCTTCTCCTGTATGATACGACTCGAACTAAAAGAAAATGATACTAGCATATGCCCGGTAAGCTCTGTGCAGTTTACAATTTTTGAAGCGAATGAAATCGTTAAAGAACACGCTGTCTATATGTATTTCCAATCACTGCTTTAATAGCTTCATGTCAGAAGCATTCAAATTCCTTAGCATTTATCTGCTTGTTCACCAACTTCACATCGATCGCTACCCGTCAGAATACCAACTCAGCTGGATCTTGCCGAGACAAACGATTTTCCAAAGCCGGAATCAGTACTGTATGACAAGATAAGTATATCCGATAGTTTTTTTTTACGTTCCGCTTTTCGTACATTGCAACCCCATTTGGGTAACGATTTTTGATACATGCCTTTGAATAGTCTTTGCTACTTTTCGTAAGTGCACTTGATTTGGAGTGCGTATGCACATTGCCATCCAGCGATTCTAGCGAAAAGGTATATTTGCTCCTGTCAACATCAAAACATGCAATGTATAATTTGTTCAGAAAAGTCTTGGTCATTAAATAGAACAGTCGAGTGCGAATAATCCAAAAAATCCACGATATCCCTAATTTTCGCGTAATTCAAGAGTTTGAATATTCGTACTTTTTGTCTTTGAATGGTTCGAAAACTTTAATCTTCGAATTATATGATTTTTTAAGTATCTAGAAATTCCAAATTTGGACTATTCGAATCGGATATTCACCGAACTGTCGGATATTTAAACACAACTCTTAAACATTCAAACGCAATGTCCACTTAGTATGTAATAAAAAAAACTTGAATTT